CGTGTGGGGTTCTCAATCGGTTCTTGCTTTCGGGTCGACGCTTTGACTCGACTCCCCATGACGCAGGAGAAGATGATCCTGGCTGACAAGGATGGGCAGATTAGACCGTCAGGCAGGATGGACAGAGACGGCGGTTACTCCGTGGGGACTTGAACAAGGGCATTACTACTAGTAGCAAGAAGCTATTAGGTGGGAGGCCATCGCTATTAGGTTGGAGGCCATCGCTAGTAGGTTGGACTACTACTAGTAGCAAGAAGCTACTAGGAACGAAGGGCATCGCTACTAGGAGCAAGAAGCTACTAGTAGTGCGAAGGACAGAGACGGAGTCAATCTAGTGGGGGCTTGACTCTTGACAGCAGGACCTGGTTTTAGATGGGTCTAGCTCCAAGAATGCAGGTTTCGAGCCATATGGGGTTGTATTTTTCGACGTGCCCAGTCTATTCAGAGTTGGGATGTTCGACTTAGGTGAAGCAAACCCTGAAGCATACCCCATAAATGCAATACACCCGCATAGTCAAACATACCAGCCTAGGTCAAAAAGAATCAAACAAATCACACTGCCCCATGGTTTGAGTGTTTCATTAGCGCTTCATGGAGATATGGCATGGACAACAAGCCATGGTTGTCATCCCTGGTTTGGAGATATTTGGAGCTTGCTGTCTATCTGGGAGGATTGGAATGGGTACCAAGTCTTTAAGCACATGTTGAACCAAGTTGATCGGTGTTCAGATTTACAGATACTTAACCATACGCAGGTACATTTTTGGTGATACTTCAGGTGTCACACCGACACTGTTGGGCATTCCAAAAGCATTCTCCTCATCGTTATGTGAGGAAGTTGATTTGCAGTGCTTGAAGTCACAGTTGAGTCGATTTCTGCCAGAGGCAGGATTCACTCAGTAGGACATAACAGTTTTGGGGCAGAAACTTGAATCAGCCTCCATTCTTTCTTTGTCAGTCAGCCACAATTTGCGTACCAATGACTTCGGAGTATTGTTCCCCACATCTCTGTGTGGGGCTCTAGTTTTTTGGCTGCCATCCCGCCCGACTCCGCCCGCCCGTCCCTCCCTCCGTCCCTCGCTCCTTCCCTCATCTTGTGACTTGTGATCATCTGACACACACTCATCTTGTCACTCACTCACTCACTCACTCACTCACTCACTCACTCAATTCACTCACTCACTCACTCACTCACTCACTCAATTCACTCACTCAATTCACTCACTCACTCACTCACTCACTCACTCACTCACTCACTCACTCACTGCGGCGCGCGGAGTCGCCGCTGGGCCCCCCTGCGGTCGTGTGCGCTACTGCCATTGTGATTTGCATAGCAACGG